GCATCATTTTAATACCCAATTTTAATACCCAAACAATAAAACAACTTAGTAACTGAGAGTTTAAAGACTTTATTGTTTTCTATGTTCTAAGTAAAGTAACAAAGTCATGCTTTATTATAAAAATCAACTGGGGTGTTACATATCAAATTAAATATATGAAACTCTCATTACATTTCCAGGTTTTCCTTTCTTTGAGCTGGACATATTTGTACTTCCATGGCAATACATATGGTCATAACCACACTAGAACACAATTGAACAATGCTCCTTCTTGATCCAATCAAACTCGTAACCTTGGTCCAGTTAATTTCATATTATAATCCAACTCCAAGTCTTAGTCCAATGAAACTTTGAATCTAGATTCAATTGGTCTCCGAATCTCAGTCCAATTAACTTCCCAATATTAGTCCAATTAATCTTTAAATATTGATTCAATTGGTTTCCCAATCTTAATCCAGTTAATTTTTCAATCTTGGTCCAACCAATCTCCCAATTTTAGTCCAATTAGTCTCTCAATCTCAGAAGTTTCCCAGATGATGTTGAAATGCTGCAAAAACACAAAGTGTTAAGAAAACGACTTGGAAGATGAAACATTATTAAAATATTAACTATACTTTTCCCCCACCAGTGTAACAAGGGCTATGCCTCCTTCCTTGGTTAATAACCAGATTAAATGATGGTTTTTTGCTATAATAACAGATGTGATATTACACCAAAAAAATACTTCACATAATTCAAATCAAATAATTTTCTACTGGCCCAACAAAGGTTTCCAGAAAAAAAAAAAGTTAAACATACATTATTTGTTGCAAGCTCCTGCCACCAAGAATTTAGGCAATACCAGATCAAGCCACCAAGATAACGGGATTTAATAACATAAGCTGGACTTAACAAGTTTCACTGGCTCAGGCTACACCATAGAGTTTGATGTCTCTTTATACCCAGCTGATAAAGCCTTAGTTGAAACTCTCAGTATATGCTATGTGTTATCAAATCTCATTACAATATTTAGCCAGCTTCATATGCTCTAACATCAAATGAATTGCCTAAATTATCTATATCAGCTACATGATATTAGATTTAATTATACCATGTAGCCAACTGGACATGCTCTGGTACTGAGTGACAGACCTAAACTATTTATGTCAACTATGTGATATTACATATCGTTAAAATATCTAACAAGCTAGCATGCTCTGGCATTGAGTGAAAGGTTTCATCAGCAATGGCTTCCAACATGTAGAGTTTTAACTGAAATGCTATTACACATTCTTTATACTGGGCCACTAAAGAGTGATGTAAATTACTTGTTTTACTGAGACAGTATAATTACCTACCAGCAGATCAAGCTTTACACTGTAAATCTTGACCTCTTCAAAATGTGCTTGTAAAATATCACAACCCAAATATTCTAGTTTAAAATCTTGTGGTTGATGTCAAAAACTCACTACATATATATTTCAGGTTGAAAACTCATGTATTTGATAGTTTATTCATGTTAAAAACTTACCATGTGACAAATTCTGCTCCTATTATATCAAAAATATGATATTTCATGCCTAACTTGGCTTCCTTAGGAAGATTACGACTCTCAAGTTCTGCTTGAAAAAGTTCTTTGTACTTGCTACGTCGTAGAGCCTGAAGAACAGCTTTTCTACCCCGGAGAAAGGCCTTCATAAACTCCCCAGCTCGGGGAATAGCCAACCACCAACTGCCAATATCTCGAGCATTCAGCAACCCCAAATGCATCAACTTACTGAAAATAAAAAAAATTTAGAAATCAATACAGGAAGAGCAAGAAAAATTCAGTTTCAGTTGCTAAAAATACCAGTATACACAGGACAAAAAAGAAAAAGCAAACATTTAATACAGTCTATAAAAAATTATACCTGAATGCAGTTGCAACATATTGAAATGTTATTAGAATCAGCATGTTTAACACGTCCTGTTAAGAGAACGCTTGGCCGTTTCAGCTACGTAACAGAAGATAAAAAACACTGTAACCTAATTTTTTTGTTCAGATCTGCATCACTTCCATTTTGTTTACCATTTCTGTGTAATTATCCTTGGGACATTCAGGGCTTTTTGTCAGAACTACAGATTGTGAGAGCTATAAAATATTATGACAACTGGACACACAATATACAGTGGGTCAATATGCTAGGCAGGCTGAACAAGGCTGGAGAAGGTCAACCACACCATGCAACAACTGCTATTTATCTGTACAACAGCCACTACCATATAATTTGAGTTTGGGTGAAGTTTCATTAATTCCAAAGACATTTTTTCAATCTATTCAACACTATTTACATACATTCATTAGAAGCATATTTTTAACTAGACTAGTAAACTCACACATCTGAAAGATGTTTCATACAATATCAGACAGAATGTTTCTACAACAGACATTTATACAAAAATTCAAACATACCCACAATTCATTATCTTTGTTTCAGAATTTTGCTGAAGCTACAAAAGGGCATTCTACGTGTAGCCATACACAATTTTAAGCTGATAAACTAGAAGGAAAGCAGCTAGACACTGTCAATTCTTGGGCTAATTTTGTCTGATTGAATATTGAGATTTCACCATTACATCATCCTTATAGAAATTAATAAAAACCCTATAACCCGAGCGCTCTCTAAAGATGGACCTTTTTTCTTCATGGGCAAACAGTTTGCCCATGAGGAAGAAAGGTCCATCTTTTGAAAGCACTCGGGTTATAGGGTTTTTATTCATTTCTATCAAGACTTCTTGAACCTACATGTTTTTCTAACATCATCCTTATAGCTTATCAAGGCCAAAAAGTAGAGAGCAGATTTTTTGCAGTAATAGGGTCCAAATCATCTAGCCTAAGGTTCCCAATCTGGGCATTAGCCATGCTTGATCCACGTTTGTCAATTCTTTTACTCGTAGAAAGAAATTAAAATAAAACTAATCAAAATGCAAATTTCATAACAAGTTAGATCACCAGTCACATTAAAGCTACGAATAAGCTTCCAGGTGAACAAATCAAAATTAAACAATACTATTTTGTAATGTTTTCCATTAACATACAGAAAGCATTATATAATCATAAAATAACAGTCTTTAACTTAATTGTTTTATCTAATTTACTTTCAAAAGTGCTTTACTATACTGCACACTATAACATTAAAAAATAAAACCTGGAAAGAAAAACACAAAGTAATGTTTCAAAGTTTTAACCAAAATTGATCACCACTAAGATTGACAAATTATAGTGAAAACAAATTGTTTAAATTAGGAACTATTAATGAATGAACGGTGTTTAAACACTTGATTCCTAAAAGCCTCTGTCCTAATTGACTTTCAACTGTCATATAGAAACGGCCGTGATGGACCTCCTATTTTTTAAAATACTTAGTATAATTTACCAAGACAGTAAAAGCTCATAACCCTGATTCCAAGTCTCAATGATACACATCCTTTTGATGTAAACATATGCTCTATTTAAATCCTGATTCTTAGTGTCTCATATAATAATACACTTCCCGGTGATGCAAACATATACTATTATCCCTGGTTCTGTACGCCTCGTGTAATTATGCACATCCTTTTGGTATAACGATATACTATTATCCCTGGTTCTGTATGCCTCATATAATGATGCACATCCTTTTGGTATAATGATATGCTATTATTCCTTGTTCCTTATGCCTTATATAATGATGCACATCCTTTTTGGTATAACCATGTGCTATTATCCCTGGTTCTGTATGCCTCATATAATGATGCACATCCTTTTAGTATAACGATGTGCTATTATCTCTCATATAATGATGCACATCCTGGTTGCATAACCATGTGCTATTATCTCTCATATAATGATGCACATCCTGGTTGCATAACCATGTGCTATTATCCCAGATTTTTAATGGCTCATATAATGCTACATATTCTAGTGGTACGAACATATGTTCTTCACCCTGATTCTGAAAAACCTGGTTAATTCAGAAACTTTTCACTTATTGTTAATTTGCTCAAGCCTGATGAAGCTGTAAAACTGATTTGCAATAAATAATGTAAAAAAATACTCAATCAAACATGTAAATTATTAAATTATTCATAACCCCTGATGTCTACCATTAAAATGATTACAGTAGACTCATTTGTTCAGACATTCCATTTGTAATATATACTGTTTTCTGCATATATATTTTCATAACTTAACACAAGTAAATGCATTTGGCACAATAAAGCCATAAAAATCTATAGCTTAGAAATATGTGGAAACTAAACATTTTTCATAAATTATATATAAATAAAATATCTGTATTCTAATTGCTCTTTTATGACTGCAACAAATTATCTCAAAAACATATGAAGTTTTTTTAACTTCAAAGATGCTTTGATATACTTGAACTATTTACAGTGCAATTATTTACACATCTAGCTTACAAAACAATGCTTTTCTATAAATCTAAGTACGAACTTAATTTTCTTTAAACGAGTTTCTATTAGTCTGTTTCTTTCTGCCACTGAGTAAGAACATGAACACGTTTCAAACAGCAGGTCTACTATCTTTCTTGGAAATCTCATGTTTTTTTGATGTGTGTGATATTTCTTATGTAATACATTTTGACATCTGTTTGTTAACATTCTTTTTACTTCATTACATCAATTGACCTAAGCTTCTAATTACCATCATATGATCTTTCTTCTATCAAAACCTTTTATAAAAAAAACATACAAAGAAAATCCTATGTAAACACACTACTTCTGATACTCTATACCCAATGCTTTTGGCAAAGAATTGGCAAATATTATCAAGTAATTTAGAACGAGAAATGACAGCAGATGATTTGTACTAGCTGTGATTTCACTGTATGATATTACCTTATATCCTCCTCCTGAAACTTCATCTCCTCCTGGAGCCAGTTCTTGTTATAGCTGATGTCAGGACACGAGGCCACAATCTGCGACAGAAAATTTTCTAAAAACAAACAAAAATTTAGTCAGTAAACCTTCTGTATTAATTATTTAGTTATATTGCTTTTCTGGGAAAAAGATTCTGTTAGAGAGCTTTCCTAACTTTTCAATTAGCAAAAACTATCTCCCATTTGTCCTTCCACTAAACTTTAAGAGGACAGTTGGCATACAACACACTACATTATGGTTTCTACCTACATGTACACATGAGATGAATGAATGTACTGCATGAGATCATTAATATTAATCTCCGATTAAAACTAAAAATCAACGGTAATGAGTACAGCTAATTAAGTATACCTTTATTATGTTCTAACTTAAAGGTTAGAATGCATTGTTTTATCAGATGGGTACACTCACTATTAATTATATTTTTGGCCATAAACTCAATAATATTTCAGAAGATTTCAATTAGTCCTAAATCCATACTATTGCTAGACATTTTGTGTGTTTGCAATAAGAGCTACAGCATTAATAAATGTTTAGCTGTAAATACAAATAGTTCAAACATTTCATAATAATATTGTGTTTATAAAATATATATACTTATTTATAACCAACTTTCTCAAATAAGTGTAGTTATGCTAGAAGACATTAATTGTACCTTTTCACTAAGACCTTATACTAAGCTCAGAATTAATAAAACCTGCTGTAGAATGACACACTTCTTACCAATAAGTTCAGAGCCATCTGAATGGGATAACACATGTTTCTTGAAATCGTCAAAAAAAACTATGGCGGTTTCTGTTTCATCAGCTCCAAGTTTAAACAGTCTGATTTTATTTTTTGCCCTTAATTCATTCTGAATTAAAAAAAAGGATAATTAATTTCATATGTAAGCATGCATAACTTCCTGATGTAAGTCAACAAAATTAGACAACTTATATACTTGAAAAACAAAAAACTGAGTGAAAAATCTCACCTTGTAAACAAGAAAACAACTACTTTTTGAGTAATTACAATTATAATTGAATAACATGTTTCTCTTTAGTAAAAAAAACAGCACCGAGATGAATCAGGTTTAAGATGCAAGAAGCAGTAAACTATCTGAATATTTACAGTGTATCATCAAAAGCTTTAGTAAATGGCTAATAATTCTATCTATTTATGGAACAAATTTTTCAAATAACTTAAAATTATTACCTTTTGTTCAGTAAAAATGTAGTTTACTTGTTAGTAAATCTCAATATGGAGAAATGGGTTTGAAACAGATTGCATCACACACTAAGACTTTTTACTAATACACTTTTTTCATAGTCACATTTGTTATTTAATTCAACTCTTTCATGAGGTGAAAATTTCAAAATTAATTAATATAAGACATATTGAGATGATGTATTTTATAGCCTAAGTTTTTTTTCAAACTTGTGGGGGTTATTATTTTGTTATAGGTTCGGACAACTGCTAATGCAGGTATAAATGTTATGAAAATATCAAATATGAAATGATTTAATTAAAGTATTTGGACATGTAAAAGAAGTAGAAAATTCAAATTATAAAGTGCTTTTCAACATAAGTAGACATATACTTTATTCAAAATATTGATAAAATAAATTATACGACATTAACGAAGCTAATGTGGCATTACAAATTAACCAAACATACTAATCAGCACATTGAATTTTTGTATACTAACTATTTGAATAAAAGATATGATCATATTATTCTACATTCTTGAAACCAGTTAAGAAAGAATAGGTTACATTTAATCAGATAATGGGGACTACTCTTACTGGAACTACAATCAAAGTAAAAATAAATGTTTTACTGCTGAATATTTTATTTTATTAGGATAATTAATTTTAGTGTGAAAAACAAAGGACCAAATAAAATTACTAATTACCACTTGTTTATCAACCAGAGTTTTGTTCTTTACAATGGTATAAATCTGATGTTTGAGGATTATCGGTGGGAGTCGCCCTTCAAAACTTTCAACTGGGAAAACAGACTTCAGGAAAAACAAGGAAGCCTCAGTGTCATTTGGGATATCTGCACTATAAACTTCAAACCAATAACAAAACATAATTAAGAAAATTATAACATACACTTAAAATTAAAGCAAAAATTTTCAACTTGTCAAAGCAACATCTATGTAACTTCTAACTAATAACAAGACTGAGATATCCTCTCATTTAACAGAATTCCTCTAAAGGAAAAAGTAGATGATTTATCATGCGTAAAGCTGAGTTCTCTCATTAAGCCTAACAGAAATCATGTAATAAAGGCCTTCTTATCATAAACACTAATATAGTTCTTGTAATATATACTTTTCAGTTTGATCTCATTATCTTCATCCTACAAATGACATCTAGAAATACAATCTAAGAAACAATTCATAAGTAACTTTAAAGCAACTGTAACTGCCATTCCTATGGAGTCAACTGGTTATTAAATGATTATCAACTAACTACATAAGTGTTAGCCCAAACATTATAATTATAAGAGGAAAGTTACTTAGACCAGCATTTCTCAACCTTTTTGATACCAGGGACCAGTTTGCTGCCTTCCTGAACTGTCACGAGCCACATAGTGGTTGTGATGGATTGGCAATGGTCTGCAGACCAGTGGTTGAAAAATACTGATCTAAGAGTTAAAAAAATAGATAGCTGATAACCTTTTGTGAAATGTGATAACTCCTTGTGGTTTTTGAAATACATTCATTTATTCTACAGCTATAACAAGGTAAGCATTATGTAACTAAAAATTTGTTGAAAAAAAAGTTTGTTTATTGGCCAACATCTTAAACCTTCATCGAGGCATATATCTAGTACTGAGACCCCATTATGGATTTTGATAAATGTGTGAAAGTAAGATGGTTGCAGTTCTACATAGGAGCTAGACTGCTTATTTGCAAAATCTGTAAATTAATCTTATCTGCACTTTATATTACAAAATGAGGAAATAATTTATGACATGAAACTTATCTTACTGTGATTATGGTTTCCCCATGAATGTGTATGATAAACATAGGATTAAACTTATTTTGTTTATGCTTGATTATGTGATACCCATTTTACCCTAAAATCTGCCTTGCAAAGCTACATTTGTAAATTATATAGTTCTAACTTCCCCAGTTACTTAAAATGTCGTAGCTAATACTTACTTGATCTATAATTTACAATTGAAGTTTAAAACCTTTTAATCATTTTAAGTTTTAAGACTGATTGCTTTAGAGAAATAATTGATTCAAAATCAGCCTGCACACAGCTTCTAGGTAATAGGTTTATTTATAAATGTGCGTGTGTATTGTTTACTGTCATTATTAATCTTTTCTGTAAGAACAGCTATATTCTTGTTGTTATCAGCCTAAAAATTAATAATTTTTCCAAATGTAATAATGAATATTTAACAGACATTTTTGAGAAAATAAAGAGTAATGTTATTGTGGATGTGTGGAACACTGTTAATTTTCTGTTGATTTACAATTATAATTTTCCTACACTGAAAGTATATTTCTGACAGGTACATACTACAGCTCACATACATAGCTATTCTTGTTCAGTGCTGCCCTCTATTTGCAAAAGTTTTTTTTGCATGTCACATAGTTTACATAGTTCACATAGTTTAACTTATTCATGCATGCAACTGGTCATATGACAAACCTCCACCAATAGACAGCGCTAAGTCCAAAACTGAACTGTCAGGAACCGAATTCTGTAGGATGAGGGATCCCACTCCTTATAGTAGCTCACTCTAAAGCAACAACATTCCCTCTGAGAAGCCTTTACAGAGGTGGAATGTCTTTTTGGTGGATTTCCTTCAACTATACCAGCAGAACACCACCACCCTACTCTCAACTGAATGGATTCCTCATTGTTTATATTGGATATCTCTCATTTAGGAGGATACTTTCATGGTCCACTACCCCAGCAGCTTGGAACTCGAAAGTGGTAAGGGCTCTCTTACTCCACTGGAAGAAATGGGAGGAGAAAATGCAGTAGAGAGTCCAGAGGAACGTACAAACTGGAGACAGTGTAATGGGTGACCACAAAAACCTATATTGAAAAGGAGGCCAAACCTGATCTAATCAATCTAAGGAATGGCAGGATGGGCAGCAATCCCCTTCTGCTTTACCCATGAAGTCCATGGGTCAGCACGGTCTGGAATGGGCATGTTTATGAAGCAAACATATCACAAGGAATAAATAATGAGCAATCTTGCAGAACACCCCATCTCTAGTATATGTAATAGTAAAGAACAGTGTGTGTTTAGTGGCCATAGCAGTTATGAAAGTGGCTTTACAGTGCAGATTTGAGTATAAATCTAATCGACTGAAGTATACCTGGACAGACACCACTTGCAACAGAGCAGGATCCAGATTGAAACAAGGGACAGTCCCCTGAAAAATATTTATAATGGAAGAAAACTTACCCAGTTATAGTCACACCAAAGTCTGAAGAATGGCAACAGATGGAAGACGATAACCTGATGAAGAAAAAAAGAACAACACGATACAGATAGTGAGAGATGAAAGTATGAGAAGTGTTCCACATGCCCACTTGAAAAATTTCCTCCAAAGGATGACACTGACGAGACACCAAGGAAAAAGTAAGGTACCTAATCTGATGGGAAGACACCCAAAATAATTGATGGGAAAAAGGAGACAAGGAAGAATAAGCCATTTGAATTAAAAGCCTAACCCAATTGGATAGTTGCCAAGGGATGAATAGATAAGAATGGTTATGCCAGAAGGAAGCTGTGTGGGAGATATAACAGCGAAGAGCATGAACTGGACGTAGAAGTCTATCCGGATCAGACATGGAAAAAAGATGGGAAATGGAAGAAAGAGAAATTGACAAGAAACCACTGAAGTCTTGGGAAGGAAAGATAAGAGAAATGGTACAGAGTACGTGAAACATTGATGGCAAACAAATCCAACTGACAATGTCCACAGGCTAAAAGGAGGAGGAAATATGCCTGAAGGGATAAATGAAACATGGAACAAGAAGACAAAGGTAGAAACGAAGGTAAAGTAAGGCAGTGAAGCACCACATTGACAATTCAATCCAGAAGGGCCACACACCATGGAGGGTGACTAATCCCGAAGGAATGTAACAAGAGTGACAAAGGTATGGAGGCCAAAACTTTAGAGTACTGGGAAAAATGAAAAGTGTGGGATAAGGCTGCCTGATAGCCCGCAATTGAGGAGACCAAAGACCCCTGACCAAATTACCAAGTGAGGAAATCTGTAATAAGAGGTACAGTGGGACAAGCAGGGGAAACCCCACAACCCAAAGACAAACAGCAGAAAACGTTCCACTTATATTGATAAACCTCCATGGGAGAAGGTTGACCTGAAAGTGCCAACAACGAAGCTACTTGCCATGAGAAAACAAATCTTCTCGTCAAGGAATTGATAAAAACCAGGTGTAAAGACAAAGGGTAGGAATGGGAGATGAACTTCCTGGGATGGAGGCTCCCATAGAAGGGAAGGCGTGCTGGGAAGAGGCAAAGGTGGAACAGACTGGATTTGGAGCAGCCGTGGAAACCACAGCTGGGATGGCCAGTAAGGGGCAATTAGAAGGACTTGACATGAAGCAGATGATAGAAACCTCCCTAGGAAGGAATTGGATAGGAGGATACACATAAAGGAATTTGTCTGTCAAATCCCAATTCAAGGCATCAACAGCCAGAGCAAGTGGATGAGGCAATGGAGACCAAGACTGAAATAACTTGGTGTTGAGGATACTGGCAAATACATCCAGGTGCTCAGTACCCACCAGAGTGCATAACCACTGGAAAATCTGAGGATCTAAAGTCCACTCCATTGGATAAATTTTCTTCGGGCAGAATAGATGATCCAGGACAAAATTGAAACCACTTGGAACATGACAAGCAAGTAGATGAATAATTTGAGTGCGGGCCCAAAAGAGGAGATCCAACGTTTGGATAGCAAAGGGAATGAGAACAGGTGCCTCCCTGGCAATTGATATATGCCACCACCATAGAATTGTCTATATGGATCACAACCAGACGACTGCAGGCAAGAGGAAGAAAATTATCCAAAGCTCGATGAATAGCAAGAAGCTCCATGATATTGATATGGTAAGACCATTCAGTTGCAGACCATTGACCTGAAGTGACTTGCTGTTCAACCCACACTCTCAGCCATGAAATAAAGTGTCCATGGAAATATGTAAATCTGGACAATAGGAGGAAGCAGTACCCCCACTGAAGTGTAAGCCTTGACCAACCACCAATGCAGATCATCTACAAGAGAAGGAGAAAGTGTAAGAGGAATATCCAAGGGATCCTGCACAAGGTTCCATTGGTCATGAAGAGTCCATTAAATGGACCTCATATCAGCATGATCCATGGGAATAAGTGCTACCATAGAGGATCACACCCCCAAAACAGATAGGGCCTCACAAGCAGTTATAAAAGGAGCAGTAAGGGCATTGATGACTACCAGCTCCATCAAACAGCAGAAGGTTGCACCCAACTGAGATGAGTATTGAACAAAACATCCAAGTGGATAAGATATTGGGTAGGAACAAGAAAGGATTTCTCCAACTTGATCGACCGACCAACCTGAGCCACCTATATGTGGGAGTGGCCTTGGCAGGCGAAACATGGTAGCATGAGACAGTGCATTATAACCCCCAATTCTCTGCTGTTGCTCCTTCTACCATGGCCACCTGTGGCTTACAGTGGCACTACAATTGGCAAGCATTATGTTTATTTAACCTACCTAACAACTATCTGTATTACGACTACCAGGGTTCTCAGTCTTTAATATCAAAGAAAATGTTACTACGTTTATAATCTAGAAGAAATCACCAACTAACTGTTTATCCAATTCATTACAAAATGAACCATCTGTTCAAAGTGAATGATCCCAGAGCTGTGAAGCTATACATACTAATTTTTGCTCTATCTCTGAATTTGCAAGGTGTGTCTTTTTATTTTACGAAACTTGGCAAACTTTTGGTAAACATTAAAAGTCTGTTGTATCAGATTTGTTAATAAAAGTTTGTCTGTGAATTCCTGAATCCTTTATTGAGTCAGTCTATGTGAAATATGCAGTAGTGTAGGAAGGAGTTGCAAAGTGGGGGTGCTTGGCTAGACATGTAGATTTTACAATAATATAATTTACAGTTGCTATACAAGTTAAATATGTAAAAGTAGAGGTGCTACAGCACTTCCAGTTCCGACTCCTTTGTGATCTTTCACCTTTCATATTTCATTTGCATAGCCTCTAGAATCTCCTAAAAGAATATAAAATGTTCATTTTTTTGGTAAAATTTTTATTTAACTCTTATTTTCTTACCCTAACACTAATAGCAGTCAGTAGAGAAATCATTAATGTAAATTTGAAAAATAAAAAAAATGAATAATACCATATTACCAATCTTTCCTCTGAACTGACTCCACTATTGATCAGATAGTTCCAAGATACTTATCTTAACAGTTGTAACTATTAACCTTTTAACATCTGTTTTTTATGATTTTATTGCTGTTCTTTGCACTCACTGAAGCAGTAATCCCATATCAACAACTCAGAAAGTCAGAGCAGGAGCAATTAGCTTTTCTGGCATGGGTAACAAAGAGAATATAAGTGTAAACTGAAACACCAGCCACTTGCTTTGCTTGTAAAATTTTAAATGTGTTAAGTACTAGTCTTGTTAGGCTAATCTGAGATGTTTATAATTTAAGCTATTTTGTTAAAAATATATATAACAATAAACAAAAAATATGTGTAAAAAATTATTTGTAATAATCACTGTACAATCAAACTGGTTTGGACTCGTGCACAAATTTGAAGCCATTCATTTAACTTTTAAATATGCATTTGAGAACACAAAAATTTACCATTCACTAGAATAGCTTGTCCCAAAAATACTGTAATTCATCCAGCTTTTTAAGTAAGCTACAAGTAGGTTAAAAAAATCCCATGAGCTGTTTGAAACAGTAGTACAGTGATTTAACAACAAGAAATTTCCATCAAATGAATACTCTGCCTGTCAAATCAAAAAAAAAAAGACTTGTAAGTTTTATATTGACAAAAATCTGCTCTATTGGTTACAAATATGTCCATCAGCCATGCAAAATTTATTAAAAAACAAGGTATAAGTCAAAAAGAAGGAAAAGGGAAGTGCTTCTTTGGTGGGTATAACAAATTTATTCATATCTCAGTAAATCAAGAAGACCGGAGGTTAAACTTTTTGATGTTTGCTTGTAAGTTATCTTTGTAAGTGTTACTAATTGGTTGAAAATTTCAGTTGCATATTTTTGAAGTTAGAAAATTCTGAAGTGGAGAAATTCAAACTAAAAAGTGTCATAAGGCATGGAAAAAATGAAATTGAGAATTTTCTAAATATTTCTTTTTTCTAAACTAAGAGGTTAAAACTTAGGTAACATAAAATTTGAAACAAACTATGTTTTCATGCCAACTTTATTGACACACATTGACAATAAAGATGTTTAATTACTTTTGAGTGTAAAACTGTCAAAAGGTTGTCACACGAGGAAAACAGACATGCTAGTATGATCGGACTAAATTTCATCAGATTTATCTTATCCCTAGTCATAAGACACCTGTACTGTGTAAAAAGCAAAGGTTGATCATGAATCACCTGTGTCAGGTTGTGTAAAAAATAAAGGTTGTTCATGTATCACTTGTATCATATTGTGTAAAAAACAGACTGTCTTATTGTGTAAAAACAAGAGTGGTCATGAGTCATCTGTGTCACATTGTGAAAAGCCAAGCTGATAATCCAGAAGTGTCTTTTAATGCTAGTATAAACACAAACATATCTAAGATTAAACTTCTTTGTTTCATAAGTGTTTTAAAACACAAGAGTTGATGTTCAGTTAAACACAGATGCAAAAGCAGTTTTTCAGGCTGTATGAAGAGTACAAATTGAGTGGTTATATACTGCTTTTAACAAAAACTTCGAGGGCCAGATGTTTAGCAATTCCCACCTATGTTTTAAGTTTATTTTTTCTAAAACTGAAGGAAACATAAGCACAAGCAAGGTGAAAGAAGATTATTTATACAAATGAGGCAACCCTACATCCTCAAACATCAAATAGAACTAAACACAGTTTTCTGCATCCATTTAAAACAAAAAAAACTTATAAAATTCAAACTCACTTTCAGATGAAGCAAACATGTCCACTTTCTGTGCACTTTCTTCAAAAGAAAAACAATCATCTTACCTGATTTGTTTACTAAACAGTAAACAATAAATTTCAAATATGGCATAAAAAACTTTAGATATGGCATTCATGAAATATTATTAATTCTTAACTAAATTCAGGTCAAAGTTTTAAAAAAAATCACTCACCTTGTTCCTTAAAAGTATTATCATCTTTGACACTTCCATTAGAAACACAGAAAACCTTCTTTTTCTTCTTATAAACATCTGGGAGACGTCTTTTAGCTCCTCTGCTCATCATTTTCTTTTTAGAGGATTAACTTAAAACATCCTTTCTACCATATCATCAAAGAGGAGATATAGCCATTATTAGGTTTACAAAAAAAACAATAGCACTAATGGTACATGAAATGATAGAACAGGTTTTAATAAGAACTAAAGAAAGGTTACTAACTTCATATACGCAGTCTGTAGGGTAAATTTCAAAGACATTAATCAATTTATTTTAGAAAAGAAAGAACCAAGAATTATACATACTGTTTGCTTTTTTTAAGAGGCATTCTCTTAACTATTTCAAAACTTCATATTGTTTGTAGGTTATCTGTGGGACAACAGCTATATTTCTGTACAACGTTTCTTCTTTAACAGTGAGATAAGATTGCGTACAACATTTAAGGTACAAGTGCTTGCTTAAATGTTATATGTGATCATGTAATTTTGTTACGCACAAAACATAGAGAAGAAAAAATGACACATTTGTTACTTCTTGTTGTTCCTTTCTTAGAAAAACAGTTTTATTGTTAGAAAAAAAAAAATTCAGCATGTTACAAAATAATTTAACCCACAAATAAGGCATTTAAAGTTTTGGCCTTAATAGACTGCTCCTGCCTGTTTTTAGAGTCTGATATTTCATTTACAGAAGGCCTCAGTAAAGAAGTTGAAATGCCATATCACTATTTAGAATCAGGCAGGAACAGTCCATTAAACCACAACTCTACTAGTCTACATTACCTAAAATACCTCCGAAACAAGGAGACATCTAATAAACAATCCTCAACATGGATTTAGCTGCCTCACCACAGTTATTTGATATGGCTGGTTAAATATTTCAGTTCATTTTCTCTAGAGTATAGAACTTGAAGTAACTTGATAGAACAGTGAAGGGGGACATGACTAAGGTTTATAAGATTGTCAGAGGTTTGGAATATATAAATTCAGGTGACTTTTTCAAAACATTTGCAAGCAAAAAAATTAGAGGACACAAATTATGGACAACTCAGACATGACTACAGTTAAGGAATTGTTACTTTTCTGACAGAGTAGTGGCCCAATGGAATAGTTTCCTTTCAGATGTGATAAAAGATATAACAGCAAGTTTAGAGAGATATTAAATGAGTAGTTTGTACAAAAGAAAAAGAGAACAAATTCCCTTTATTAATAAAGGCCTAGCTTATGTACTGTTCTGTAAATCTTTCCTCCTACATGTCAACTTGAACTTCTTAATCTTGTAGCATCTATCCCTGATTTGATCCTGTATGACTTTAGTAAGCCAACTGGGTTTCATCTTCACTGTTATCCTTTTCTTCTTTTTAAAGCACATCAATATATATATATATATGATTTAAAGACAAGGGACCTGTTGGTCCATCTGAGGAGACTCCTACCCTGCCAAAATTTATGTTTGTGTCCCCCCGTCATATCATTCTCACCATTAAGTACTAAAAAATTGATGTGTCAACACTATCAATTCCCTTAACAATATTACAACTCAATCAGATTCTCTCTAATTCTTCTTTTTTCAAGAGTAAACAACTTTAGAGATCTTAACTTATCATGTGAAAACCTTTCCATCCAAGGAACTATCCTAGTGGCCCTTCTCCAGTTCAATGTCTTTTTTAAGGTAAGGAGCCCAAGACTGAACACAGTATTCTAAATGTGACCTTTTAACTCATTACCCAACTTATTAATGACTTATCTTGACTGATGACCTTACAATTGGCTTTATGAGAGTTAGGAACTAAAATTTCACTTATTTTTTATCTCATCATGTAGCAAATGATCAAACCCACTTCATCTCTTGCAACCGTATCCTCATTAGTGGTTAACAATATGATATCACTTCTGGTTGGTTCTCTTTAATATAGATCATCCTAAATCACTTCAGTAAATATCTCTTCCTCACTAGTTGACTCTAATCAATGAGTAAAATCACGGTTCCACATAATTACTTCATCACTATTCTTATTACTTAACAAATACAATCTTATTATACAATTTCTCAATGACATAATTTGTCTAATCAGGTGGTCTATAACAGTTGACAAAAACTTTGTACCCTTGAAACTTCTGATTGTAAGCCATATACATTCATCATCTTTGTTACCATCTCTTTACAACTTCAGTACTATTAGATTGCAGTTTATCATCTGTATGAAGAGCTACCCCACCTCTGATTGTAAGCCATACACATTCATCATCTTTGTTACCATCTCTTTACAACTTCAGTACTATTAGATTGCAGTTTACCATCTGCATGAAGAACTACCCCACCTCCTCTTGATTACCAATTTTTATGTCTTCAGTCCCATCAGGCTGCAGTTCATCCCATATATATACAGACAACTACCTTTTTTTTATGTTTATCACTATTTAAATATTATAATTTGGAGTTTAAAAATAATTCCTATTGTTAAGTTCATTAACTCCCACTAGTATTTTTCCATTACAACTCATACACTTTATTTCTAATGTCTAATATATAACTTACCATGTTCAATATGACAGATTTATTTATAAAACTATTTAACTTAGGCTCAAAATCTCCTTTTTCCAACCTCCACAAAGCTTATTCCAAAGCTCCCTCACCACTATGCAAGTTTAGTTTACACAATGTTTAAAGAATTTCTTTAGGGCTTCTCCAAACATCTCACTACCTAACCTTCTAGAGTGCAGCCCATCTCTAGCATATAATTCAGCCTTACCCTCAAAACTATCCCACAGGTCCAACAAGCCCACCTGTCATTCAAACATATCCCTGCTAAATCTTTCATTTAAGCCTCATATCCTGCTAAGTAATTCACTCCTGTGTCTAGCCTGCAGGACTATTGGAAGAACCACAAGTCTATTTCTATTCCTAAACCTCTGGTGGAATTCTTTATACTTTATATTTATAGTTTCCAACGTCATTTACCACAGTATAACATCTACAATAGAAATTGTCTGCTGGAGCTTGTAGGTCCTGGGTTCAAGATCTGATCAGTAGTCTTCTGGAGCTTTAGCTCAAGGTGGAGTAAATTATTTATTACAACTGGTGGCCAATGTGGGGCCCTCAATGTTATAACTTATGTTGTTTCATTGTGGTGTCTGTATGATTGGTGAGTTGAAAGGTTGAAGATAATCTTTGTTCAAGTAAGTAAGGAATACAAGATGAGAGTAGTCTGCTGGGGCTTGTAACTCAGTTGGATAGCACTAGTGTAAGATGGAAGTACTGGGTTCATGCCCTGGACAGAGTGAAGTATTAGTTCTGCAAAAAAGTAATCATTATAAGTACCACAACTAAACTGTCAACATTCTCTATAAATTCTATACTTCAGCACCTAGTAAGGAAATTCTAGTCCTAGTTTATAATATGAGTAACTTTATCAGTATATTTAATGTGAAATCCCCATATGTAAACCTCTTGATCATCTTGTTCATCATCACCAGCAGCCAAAGGTTCAAACCTAGAGAAGCTGATAAGAAACTTTAATGCATCATCCACATGACACTCATATTTCTCTTGCATTTGATCAAGCTGTGGTATTATTCCAAACAGCAATTCTAAGTAAGCTTAACAGTAGTACAAATACTAGTTTCTGGTTCTTACTAAGGTAGTGCTAACTGTACTATGACCACTAGTACCAGTAATCCAGTAAAACAGAAATACAACATATTGCAGTAAGCTACATTTTCAGTGTTTTAATTCAGAAGTTTGCTAGAGGGAGTAGGCTGTTATGATCTGTAAAATTTGTGAAGGGAGTAGAAGGCAAGTATGATATAAATATGAATAAACAGTGATCAGTTAATAAGTTAACTGGTTAGTGAGAACCAGAAGGTAATGAGTTAGTTCTATAAGTCAGTGAAAGTTATTAAGTTAAGTGAGAAGTCAATGAGTGTTCAGTTCAGTGTCAGAAAAGTTATTCATTGTTAGCAGTGAGAGTTATCACATCTATTCTACTATTCAGTTACTCATTCAATTAGCCACAGAATTCTACAACTTTATAAGTTAGGCCTACATCAGTTTCAAAGTTTATGTATTTGAAATTATAACTACAAATGAATGCAAGAAAAAAGGTAATTCATTATCATTATGAAGAATTGGCATTACTTTTACCAGTTAACACAAAATGAACCTGTCCAACAATGTAATGCATTACAACATGAATTCTAATAAAAATCAAACATAAAATGAGAAAACAGTGTCCATATGCACAATAACTTATATAAGGTTAAAAGAAGCATGCTCTACATGTTTTAGTGGAGAAAAAGATCTAACAACTTTAGGAGACAAAGAAGAATACATGTATTGAGTGTGAATTCTACTTATATGTTCTTATCCAAAGTACTTAGATGTAAATTGTATGTAGATTCTATTTAACCAGGATTCACCTGCTGTATTTCTAACTGGCAATATTATCATTTGTTTACTTATTCCCAATCAGTGGTATTCAATGGAAAATTAACTTTCTCAAATCACTAGTTAGACTTCATTTGATAATAGTACACACAAATGTAGTCTCCTTATTGCACAACAGATACTAACCTTACTGGAAAAAATTCAGAGGGTGCTACTACAAAAAACCAAGGTATAGAAAGGTTATTTTATAGGGGATAGATTAATATCTCTCCAATTTATTTTCGCTGAAAAAAAAAAAATAAAGGCAAGTAAGAGGTGATTTTATTGATGTTTACAATGATTATCCAGGTTATTAACGGAATAGAGGATTTTGATTTTTTTATTTGTGGTGCTTCTGAAAATAACATGAGAAGAGAACACAAGTTTAAGGTTTAGATAAAAAAAACAAGTTCCAGTTCAGTTTTAGGTTTCTAACAGTAACAGACTAAATGAATGAGTTGGTATTACCACTACCAGTAGTGGAGGCAAGCACTATACGGGAATTTGAAAGGGATTCTAAAATATCCTTTGAAAAGAGGGTGGGTTTTAATTTTTTCATTGGCGAGTTTGCAAGGACAGTACTACTAGTAGTAGTAGAGCAAGTTGTCAGTATGTAATTCAGATTTTAACATACCTTGGCAATTTTTAGGTCCACTCACTGACAATGTGAATAATATGATTCAAAATTGAGTTATGAACGTCAAAGTATTGCTTAGATTATTTACTGATTTGGTAATAAAACTAAAAGTAAAATCAACGCAAAGCGTCACATTATTTTAATTCTTAATAATAATATAATTTGAAATCTTACACTAAACTTTAAGCAGAATATTAACTACAGTTATTGGAAATTTTGAATTAATACTATTAATATTATATTTATTATAATTATATTAAACTTTCCCCAGTGACAACAGTAAATTATACACAATGAGCATGACGTGGCTGTACATAATATACTTCACCTGATGATGACAAAACTTTGTCGAAACGTTGTACAGTTGCGGTTACGTTAAACTTATATTAAAGTTTTTCTTCATTACCCATTCAATCCGTGTCCAGCCATTATTATACTTCACCTATACTGACGCGCCCTCTCTTCTGAATATGCGTAATAACTATAAAATGTTCTTCCATGACAGATAAAGACCTAGGTAGCTAATAATAATAAAAGAGCACAATATCTTGTATTGTAATTAGTGAAAACAATCGTGTGTCCTCTTCAGTCTCACGTTGTCTTCTCCTGAGACTGAAGATGAAGCACGAATTTGTCGAAACTAGTTTCTCTAATATCAGACTTCTGACAGTTTGTTCCGTTTACTATGGTTTTTCACAACCTAGGTAGCTGAGTTTGCCAGAGGTTGGTTTGGTAAATTTATAAATTTTTAACTCGCCTTTGGAAAGAAATTTTTTTTTTTCATTTATGTATAATTTGTAATATTTTTAGGTGGAGCCATTTCATTTACAAATTTAAAGAATGATAAATGCAAAAATATTACTTGTAGAATCTTAAGGAATCAATATGTGAAATTACAATTTAAAAGCGAACACAATATATAGTAACGGGAATGATCTATTTCTTAAAATTAGGGTACTCCTGTGACTCAGCAGTAAACTTGAGAGCAAAGAATCAGGAAAACTTGTGAAAGATAAAGCTTTTGTATAAACTAGAAATTTCGTGCAGCATATAGAAACAAAATATGAAACCCAGTGAAGCAGTCATTAATTAATAAGTCGATGATTCAGTAAGTTTATCAATTCAGTTATTGCGTCTGTTACGACAGCGGAGGTCACGTGACGCTAGTAACACGTCATATTCTCGAAGGTTTGTGAATCCTCGAGTGTTT